TGTTAACTCAATTTTGACTTTGGTCGGTGACCCCATTTTGTTGTCAAACCTTTGATTATTTTGAAAAATATGGAAATATATACCATTTTTTACTCACTTTATTCAACTCAGTTGTTAAAATATGTATATATATATATACCAAAGGTTGTAATATGACGTTAAATTATAAAAAGTAGTGAAAAAGTATATTTTCCTGTTTCATATCGTTTTCGTCGATGTTATGATAGTGTAAATATTCTGTTTTGATTTTTAGCTAATTAATAATATAGTGAATTAGAATTTTAAGAATTACATGTAACACGCGTGAAGTCGCTTGACAATGAACATGTATCAGTGTTTCTACCTGTAGTTGGCGATAAAAGAGCTGTTTGTTTGAAACTAAAGAATGTCTATAAAATAAACATGTGCAATATTTTAACTATTCCAAGTCTGAATTTTTGAATTATAAGGAAAGAAACGCTTTTTGAATATAAAATATGCGAGAATTTCATGGAAATATTATTTATCAAATTTTAAATTCAAAATATATTTTGAGGTATGGCCAGTGCACGAAATTTTTTTGATATGTCGTCAACGCTGTAAAAGTACCAGTCCTCCTAATATCAGAACATATTCAACATGACAATGCTGAATAATATCTTTGTTTATCTCTCTGTATATTACATTGTTTAACGATATTGAATCCACATCTTGTTAACATTGCCTTCCTCTTTTCTGTTGTTTACATCGTTAACATCGTCGGCATCGCAATGTAGGTTGATATCGAGTCGACATCGTTTCAACATTGGCTTCTTATCTGTCATATTTACATCTTTCACATCGTCGACATCGCAATGTTGGTCGATATCGAGTCAACATCGTGTCAATATTGCCTTCTTTTTATCTTCTTTACATCGTTTACATCGTCGACATTGCAATGTTGGTCGATATCGAGTCCACATCGTGTCAACATTGCGCTTTTTTTGTTTATATCGTTCACATCGTCGACATCGCAATGTTGGTCGATATCGAGTCTACATTGTCTACAATGCATTGTGGATGATGTCTTCGAAACAATACTAAATGTAGACGATGTAAACGCAGAATCGTTATAATATTATTACATTGCGATGTAGACATACAATGTAAAAATAATAATAATGTAGCTAGACGATGTTAACGCGATATCACATCAACATAGTTTACATTGCGATGTAGAAACAATACCAATCTAGAATGTATGAGTTAACTCTTTACAAGTATTTTTCTCAAGAAACATTTGGCCAGAAAAAAATGAAACTTATTTGTAAGCATCCTGGAGTAGGTAAATTAAAAAATAACATTGAATATATACTAGGAAAAATCTTTAAAAGTCTTCTCAAGGATCGAGAAACATTTTTTGGAAGCACCCTGTGAAAGTGTTGATTCCAGATTGTTGAATTGTTGGCCCCCGAGGGAAGAGTGGGGTTACAAGGGGGAAATCTGGAAAAGAACAGGACAAAAATTACTCTGTTCAGCGTTCTATAGTCCATGGTTTTCTTATTTGATTTCCTTTCATATAATTATTACAATGAGAGTGTGGTAATTAATAATTATTATTCCCATTCTACATAATAGTAAATGATGCATTTGGTGAAAAAAAGGGAAAATGCTAGTCGAAATTTTAAAGAGCAGAATTCTTTAGTAGATTCTAGAACATTTTAAATGAGCTATAATTCTTTTAAAAGTTGAAATTACAGTTCATGGTAGCTCAGTCGGTAGAGCGCTCGCTCCGTGATCGGGAGGTCGAGTTCGTATCTCGGCCCCGACTGACCTAGTCAATAAAATGGGTACATGTAGCAACTGTTTCTTCGCCATGCGCTCGGCACTTTGAAGTGAAAGTTGCGGGTCCTTTGGATGAGACCTTAAAAACCGAGGCCCCGTGTCAGAGACAGGCGTTGGTACGATAAATATCCCTCACTGCTTAATGGCCCTGAGTGCCGAGTAAAGGTCAAAATTTGAAGCCCTTCACCGGCATACGGTGACGTCTCCATATGATTGAAAAATTCTCGAGAGGGACGTTAAACAGTCAATCTTAAGTTGAAATTCATATTAAATGTGACTTATTTGATTTTCGTTGCGATTTCATTTTTAGCTCTACTGGTAAGAGGCCAGAAAAGCGTTGCTATAGTAAGATGACCGACCTCTGTCCTTCTGTCTGTCTGGATGCTTGCAAAGTTTTTAAAACGCTACTCCTTCTACATTTTTGTCTGATTTCCAATATAATTTTGAACACAAGTAGACTAATATACTAAGAACCATAATTCTATTTATTAAATATTTACTTAATAATACAGTATGTTTGCATCCCCGATAGGAACACAGACAGGCGCTCTGAATTACACACCCTGTATCAGCACCCAGTATTTCACCCATATCGCATCCTTTATTACAGCTTTCTGGAACATCTCTGTATTTTTCATTCAGAGTATCTCGGATCTTTTTCTATTTTTCATGAAGTTTATTGTACGAGTAATTGTAATTTTCATCAAACATTTTATGTTATTTCAAATAATTATTTTGTTTTATTTATAATTATTTCTTTTTTATCTGTGTATGCTTTGCATGTGGAAAACAATAATGAGAAAGTGAAATAACTTAAAGGGAAAACATTCATTCTTTTAATTAAACACTTAATTTATAAACAAAATACAGTATATAAATGATTATTGTCACTATTTTCAAATATATATCAAAAGTTATACATGCAAAAATCTGTAACACACCCCATAACAATTTAAACCTGCACTAATATCAGCCTTCTGGCCTTCGGCCCTAGGGCTGATATTGGAGTCTCGCGTGTTGTCATGTACATGTATTATTCTTTCTATATAAAACCGTACACCCCTTTCTGCCATGGATACCATTCATTGACCCCCCCAAAAAATTGTCCGAAATGTAACAATTGGTTTCTGTGAAAGTGATGAACGAAAATAAAGTAGTTTTCTATAAAACAGTGCAAATCTTTGATATTTGTGAATAAAAGATGGGATAAAAATATCTCCCAAAGCTTGAGAAAAAATAAAACGAGATAGATAAAAATTATATCCAACCAAAATTACAACAAAAAACATAATTAAATCATCGAAAATCCTTTTTGATGTCGATAAAAGTGTTGCCTTGTTCACTAAAAATAGATTTTTTTGTGAAATATTTTAAAAATCTTTCCCCTCATATAGTTTTGGTCTGATTTCAATATAACTTGGCACACATATGAACCGCACTAAAATGCATAATTTTATATCAGTTTTTGATTTCGATGAACAGTGTTTTTAAAGTTACTGAAAATATTAAATACAGTGAAATAATAATTATAAAAATGTTACTCCTCCTACATCTTAATCTTATTTCAATAGAACTTGGTGCGCATGTAGACTACACTAAGATACATTATTTATTCTGACGGGTTTTTTTTTTATTTCAATGAAAAGTGCTGCCTTTTCACTGAAAATTAATTTTCTGTAAAATATTTTAAAAACACTACTTCAACTTCTACATTGTTAAAATTTAGTCTAATTTCAAAATAACTTGGCTCACATGTAGACTAAATTGAGAAACAAAAAAGTTAATATCGTTATATAACTTCAATTAATTATGTTGCTATGGTAACTATATTCGAAGTTCTGTGATGTTCCTTTTAAAGGATATACTCCTAAAGTTTTCGTCTGATTGCAATGTTACCACAATAGAGACTAAATGCTCATGATCATTTTTCTATTTAGTGCTAATGCAAAGTGTCTTGTCAATTTGCTACTTTTCTCTGCCTTTTTTAAAGTAAAAACTCGTGGATCTACAGGTTTGTTTTTATGAATTCTTACACTATTTGAGGAGTGTTTTCCTGTTAAACCGATCAATAGTTCTTAAAAAAATAGACAAAAGATCAACAGGATATGTCATTCTAAGTGTTAGCTGTCTTACAATATCACTTATAAAAATAGAGAAAATTTTATTATCAAGAATTTTATCAACAGAGTTTCCTAACTAATTCATTTATGTACCAGAAAAGAAACACTGATGTCATGTTATTTCCATATTTATATTTTTGGTGCTCTGAAGCTGGAGACCAGGAAAACTTCATCAAGACAGTCCTAATCTGTGTGCTGCAGGGCACTTCTCTATGTGTACCTGTGAATATAACATATAACATGCTTATTCTAGTAATGTTGTGTATACTCTATGACAAAAAAAAAGTCTCTTTCAAAGGGCAGATTTTGAAAAATATTTTAATACCTAGTTGGAGCATATACCTTTATTCTGAAAACCGGTATAACGTCGATTTCAGAATTTGGTTTTACTCATTAACAAGCTGAAACATTCTGGGGTAAAGAAAAAAAATGCCAGTGGAGTCAGAGACCTGCATGTCTGATGAAGTGACTCCAGAAAATACCGTCGCCCGCATGGCACAGTGGTTAGAGCGTCTGCTCTAGAATCGCAAAGTTTCAAGTCTTTCTTACATCGCAGGTTCGGATCTAACTTTAATTTGAGACGTGGAGACCGATCCTTGAAATGAGACCGTATAAACCGAGGTTCCGTGTCGCAGAAGGTTCTGGCACGAAAACATCCCCCACTGCTCAATGGCCCCGAGTGCCGAGTATAGGACAAACACCAAGTTATGGATCATTATTCTATTTATTACTGTTGCAAATTTGCATGTCAAAATGCTACTTTTGTTTTCCTTTGTTATAAGTGCATACCAGTGTAGATTCAGTCTCGACAGACACGTCTAGTTTAAAATCAAATTCATCTCGCAATCAAATAATTGGGTCATATTTTTGAAACCAGACGGGAAAAAGAAATTTCGAACCATTATATTACCAAAAAATGTCATTTTAACAACAACATTTTAATATAGTTCCTGATAAAACGCTATAGCTATATATCACTTATTATTCAGGAAAATCAAAGTCTTTCCTCGTGTAATTTCCGTTCCAGGACAATGAAATTAGTCTTTTATTTCTTAACTGTAAACTATTTTGAAAAATTAACCAAATAAGAAGGATGAATATTTTAGTGATCCCATTGACAACTATCATATGCTTTGGTAAACGATGAAATTATGGGATTTTTTTTCTCCATTGGTTTTGTCATGTTATATTTTTGCATATTTTTCAGAATATTGTTTGGCATCAAATATTCACTTGGAAAACATTAACACAAACAAGGGTCAGTTTACCTCACCTGGATACCCCGCCAACTATCCGGACAACACAAACTACACTTGGATAATAAGGACTGGGCACACTGCAGCTAACGTTACATTTAGAATTCATGACATGAATATTAGAAACACAAATCCTTGTGACGACTATCTCGAGGTAAAATTCACCTTTTATTAAATTCTTATCTTGAATTAATTACACAGAATTTGGCACAATAAGAAGGATAAAAAAGCTGTAACAATTACGATTAACTCTCTCTCTCTCTCTCTCTGCAATCTTTATATGTTGTTTATAAAAATCTCATACCCAGTATTTTTCCTTTGCAGATTAAGGAGGTCGAGCCATGCTGCTTTACCGTATTTAAAAGATGTGGTGAATTAAAGGACATGGCCGTTTACACAAGAGGGAATCAAATAAGAGTATCGTTTATTTCTGACAGAATTCTGAATGCAAAAGGATTTAATCTTTCCTGGACAGGTATAAATCTTTAGATACCATTTGTGTACATGTAGTATGTCATTTTTGTCACACACTCATTTTTCATTAATTTTAGTCGCTTTGCAACCAACAACACCACGGCTAAAAGTTACCACGATTAGGACAACAACCCCTTCAAAGACGTCAGTTAGAATATATCCTTCTAAATCCACAAGAAAATTGACAACTAATACTACATCAAGAACTGCTTCAACAGCAAAAAAACTGACAACCATTTCTACAACAACAACAATGATGACAACAACTCCCAGAACTTCTACAACAACAACAACAGCAAAGATGACAATCACAACAAAGTTGAAAACCCCTTCAACTAAAAAATTGATGAGAACTTCTACAACAAAATCTTTCTCAACGACATTACAGATGACAACATCTCCAACGGAAGAGAAAACATATGATATAACAACAATAAAGACAACACTGTCATCTAGCCACTTGTCAGGAACATTTATATTTGGAAGCTCAACATTGCCGGGTAAGAGTGATAAATGGATAAACATGAAATAAACATATCAAAAACGTGAAAAAATTTAAGTATGATATACATTTTGAGTTATTCACCTTCTTTTTCAGAATAAAACAAAATTACTTAACGAGGTATCTAAAAGAAATGTTCATTAAGAATGAAAACCAATCATTGAAACTATCAAAGTTTTAAATAGATAAATACTTGGGAAAATTAAGATATACATGAACTTTTGTTTTTGGAAAACTCTTTCATAAATAATGCAAAAGCACATTAACTGGCATCCTCTTCTAGTGTATCCAGCACTGAGTTTTGGGAATCACAAGATTTTTTTCATAATAAAATAAAAAGAAAGAAATTATATCGGAAAATATAAAAAATAAAGAGCAAAGCAAACACGGGTCTCTAAAATCATCAAAAGAGGAATTAAGTGCCATTGGGAGTACTCTTCCCACGTCAGCCGTCACACTATTACACCTATATAATCCATGGCATAATCAAGTAAATGAACAATTTCGTAGATATGTCAGAGTGAAAATAACGACCTAAAAATCTATTTGAAAAAGCCATTCAATATTTTATTTAACAAAAGACTGTACTGGGTAATAAGGTCATATCATGATACTTTGGTCCATGTAGTGTTTCAAGGACATTGGACATAAAATTCCAAATAGATTATATGATGAACATTATTCAATATCAAATAAAATAATTCCCAACAGGTAAAATAGATTTTCAAAGACATTGGGCCATAAAATTTCAAACAGAATAAATGATGACATTATTCATTATTATACTTTCATGTTAAATACTAAAATCTGATTGGTTTAGACGCAGTTAACAATCTGTTCTATTACCCTCAGCCTTAGCAACACACGTGACAACGGGTAACACAACGGTAATGCCACATGCGTGGAAATTATGCGCGTACGGTTCACCGTAGAATTCTCAAAACGTCAGTTGCGCATTTGAAAGAACCGGCATAAACTTGACGTCAATAAAAGCTTGCGTCCGATGTTTTTTACTTGAAAACAACAAACGACAGACGAAAATGCTTGCAAGTGCAGAAATAACGAAACTTTAGATGATAAAGGACTTGTAGAGTATCAAATAAACAATAAAGAGGTCAGTAAATCTTTTTCGAAGTAGCGGGAAGTTTGAAAGCTTTCTAAACGTGAACGAAAATGCGATCGACGATTTGTATTGCTTATATAGTAAATTAAGTAGACATTCAGTATAACAAAATAAATGGTGCCTGTTTTGGAGGGTAACAGTTGAAACTGAAACCCCTCGGAAAACCATTGTCAACCTCCGCTGACGCGTCGGTTGACAATGGTTTTCCTTGGGGTGTCAATTTCAACTGTTACCCTCCAAAACAGGCACCATTTATATAATGTCAAATAAAATAATTCCTAACAGGTTACATAGAATTTAGTCATGGTATTAGATTTTTTCTTTTTATAATGAGTATTTTGCATAAGCCAAACTGTTACAAAAGCTATGCACATTTTATTAGATCTCTACAAATTAAGACTTAATAAGTCATTCGTGCTTCGACCGAGAAACGGATGAACATGCAATCCGTGGTAGGGAAACATTCTCATCAATTGCGATATTATAAACTACGGGAAGTTAGAAGCCCTTGTGAAAATAAAATTTAAATAGCGTATGAAACCCTCTCTGCTCTAATTTAAAACAATCCTCCATAAAAGATTAAGAAAAATAGGATAGGGCTACATTGCCTTTTAAACATATACAATGCACATTCGGTATATTTCCACCCGCTCTTGTTGTCAACCTTCAACATGTTCAAGTCCAGCAAGCCAGAAATATTGTTACATATTGTACCACTGGTTTTAAAAAACAGAAGACATTTTATAAGATTAACCCTAGATAACATGCGATTTTTGTTGAATTTTTGGGTAGGTTAGATCACACACGTGCTTCAATGGAAGTGACATCGAAGCTTTGAAATTCATAAAATTAAAGAAACATTTTAAACAAAACTCGATTTCCGGGAAACTCTTTTCCCTTGTTTTTATAAGAGAGAAGTGTTATTTCATATTAAAATGAATTCATTTAGAGGTCGGAAAACACAATGCAAGGATATTTACAGTTCAATTAAGCTATAAGACGTTGCCTTGCTTATTATTGCTTATAATGGACAATGCATTATCTCCTATTAAGGATATATGCAAGGTTCCTTACGTACTGATAATTTTTCAAGTTATTCTTAATTCAAACTTATAATACCATTTCATGTTCTTAGACAAAAAATCAGCATATACTTTACATGCTAAATTTGGAATTGCATTATCCCCCAAAACAGTCACAAATGCTTGGGCATCCTATGGTGTGACTGAGAAACCTGAAGTCAGAGCGGAATCTGGTGTAACGGCGACGCAAGCACTCACAAGTATTCCGATTATTGAAAATTCAGCAACATTAGGCATAACCTCGGAAGATGATTCTTCAAATAAAACATTTCTTGACAGTAAGCAAACACTTACCTTTTTCAAGTTTGTAATTCGAAAATAGAGTGCCGGCGTTTAATTTTGTGTTTGCGAAAGATGTTTTCATTGTATAATTTCACAATTGTATACCAGATGTTACTTGAATATGATTTTATGGACTTTTGATCTGGAATACTGTTCTGTTCGCTATCTCCATATGTTTATTTGTAAATTGGATCTTTTATTTCAAAAATTGGTCTGTATGATTTGTTTATAATTTGCAATTTATGTCCAGTTTCCAATAAAAGTCTTCTAATCATATTTAAAGAAAAAGTGAATGGTATAAAATCTATAAAGTTATTAAAATAAATACTTCATGATTATGCAACTAACGGTAAAGTAGATAAGTAGAAATACAATGCTTCTGAACTTTTCATATATTTTAGGTTACATGCATATAATTATTGGTGTATGTGCTTTTGAGGTCATATTGGTAATTATCGGAGTGGTTGTGGGAAAGAGATTTTGTTCACGGTAAAATGATTCTTTATTGATCTTGCAGTCCTTTCAATGTTGACCCATTTATGTTTTATCGTGTTTAAAAAGTTAATATAGCATATTTGGATTTGCAAGTTTACATATATTAGATTTTATAATTAAAAGGTTTTATCTTTTTCAACTTGAAAACAGTGCGTCAAAAAAATCTCCTTTACCAGGAACGGCTGTAACTGATGGATTAAACGCTACATCGATGGAAAAGTGCGCTCACAATGTCTACGAATCGATTCCTCTGGAACATTTCAATTCAAGTGACGCCAACGAATTTGACGAAGGTGTTTATGTAGAATATCCTGATAATGTCTATGACCGCTCATTTGTTCGTAGAACACACGCCTTCCGAAACAATGTGTACGAGACAAATGAAGCCATCTACAACGTGTCTTTTTCAAAGCAAAACCATGACATTTTACAAGGTTCAAATATTTATCAACCATGTGAATTGACAACATTCCTGAAACAAGAAGAAAATTGTGAACAGAAATGCTAAAGTTTTGGAGAAAAAAGAAAATAAAGGTTATGAAAACATAAGATTTTAAACAAAGCAGTTTAGTGCATTTTTGCGCCTGGAAAAAATAAAATTCAAGGTTTTATATTTACAGCTTTGTATTTAAAAACTGTTTTCTCTAAATGGAGTCAACTGTGTTTAAATTTGCATTTAAAATAAATAAATGCTTGTAGTTTATGTAATATAATATAGATTTTTAGTGGAGTGGATAATTTGATTTGGTTTTCTTAAAAAAAACATAGAGTATTATTTTGACGCTGTTTCCCAGGAAAAAAAAATCGGCAACCAAACTGATATTATATCAGAACAATCAACTTGACCTCTTTACCATGACCTTTGAGTATGATCTACTTCAAAAATCGTTTACCTTTCTGCATAAGCTTTGAATGGTTTTTTTAAGTGTTAAACAGATACATAATAACGAAGATCAATGTTAATGATCAAAAAAGAATACAATAATCACAATTAGATTGTATATTCTTATTTTCGATACAATTGGTTCATCATATATTTACACCTATGCTTTCCTGTAAACGAACAACTACAACAAAGGCTAAAATAAGCCACTTTATGCTACAAGAAGAAACACGTGCGTGCTTAAACTTAGTCCATCCATGACAATTCGACCAGGCAAAGCAATAAACTTCAGAACCATCAATCTGACATCTTGACCATGACCTTTGTTGACGTACCTATTTTTTTTTCATTTGACCATAAGCTTTGAATAATCTTTTAATTTTCTAAAACCGATCAAGAAAATCAAATAAATCTTATTTTAAAAAAGCGAATAACAAATACACTAAATATTTATATTGTCATTGATGCATCAAATACATCTTTGCTTTCCTGTACAGCAACAACTACAACAAAGACTAAAATAAGCCACTTTATGTTACAAGAAGATATACATGTACGTATATTAGTCCTTGAGCCACTGAGGGTGGTCGGTACCATTTTGGGTGAATAAACTTTATAGTGATATTTGGTAAGGTATATGGACCTAACTAGTGAGAAAAAATGACTTTAATTATAGCATCAAATCTGTTGGGGCTTTAATGCTGAATGACACAGTTATTGCCCTATTTTAATTTGCTCAAATTAGGTATTTTGAGTTAAATATATTAGCAACCTGCAAAGTATTTGTCACACAGTTGACAACCTTGATGGAAAGTTTTACCAGAATTACTCCAAGATATGATGAACAAATTAAAAGAGCATTAACTGAATTACTAGCCGTGATTCCAATAAAAATTGCATTTTTTTTAACCACTTTTATTCATAAGTACCTCAAAAAATTGTATAAAGAAAAAGATAAGTACCAACGCACATATACTAGTTTAGTTATTCGTCCGTCGGTGACGACAATGACCACTATCTCATCTTCGTGGCGGAAGGGGGATGACCTGAACGGTGAGTGCGGAGGTGACTTGTCAGGCTGATCCTCGCACAAGCAGATGATGGAGTTTTGTCGATATATCTACGCCCCTCTTTTTGTAAAAATCTCAAAATACAATTTATATAAAAATCGGCTTATAGGCCAAACAATGTTCTGAATGCTTTGCCAGTTGACAACAAACACTTGCTTTCTGGAAAAAAATCTCATCCAACGTGGGAACGCCATCCAATGACTAGTTGATTGGAAAATAACCTGGGAAGACGGTTGATGGTTTCGTCGTTGATGGTTCTTAGAACTCCTGGGTTTGGCTGCGAAAACTGAAATGTTTCTCCCACCTTTTCAGCATCTTTTCCTTCTCTGTTTTGTCATGACTGTTGATGTCCGTCATCACATGTAGGAGAGGGGATGACTTCTCTGGATAATCTCAAGTCCCTTCGGTTTCTCAAGTCCACAGTAAAAGTATTTCCTGACGCCTGTGTGTGTTTTTTAACACATTTTCGGCGTTTCCAGCGTTGGAGTCTCGTCTGCTTTGGTATTCAGCCAGTGATAGTCCTGCATATTCCTTTGTCAAAGCTTTTGCTGTACTGTGCTGCTGATCTTGTTCCTCAGATTCTTTTGAATTTCTTGGCTGTGGAGGTGGGATCATCTATATTAACCTCGTAAGCGCGAAGCTTGTCCTCACAAGCTGCATGATCTCGGCTCAGTTCTCATCAAACTCAGTCTTTGTTATTTTTGATGGAGGGCCTTTTGCTATTTTCACGACAGATCGGTTTTCCATTGTACACTGTATTACGTAGTGTGTTCCATGCCGCTTTCACGTCCTGGTCGTCCAGCAGAGTGGAGTCCAGGCGTTCATCCAGGGTGTCAGCAAAGTACTTAGAGGTGTAAGGCAACTTTAGCCTACCAATGTTAGAGACTGTTTTGAAGCCTTAGTCTCCTTGAGACGTCTCCTGATTTTGATCCGGAGGTTGAGAGGTGAAGTGTTTAGAGACTGTGAGACATTGTTGTACATAATCTTTGATTTCACTGTTCATTGCTGGCCAGCACATAGCCTTGGTGAACATATGAAATGTCTTTAGACATCATCTTGTCTTTCTTTCTGACAATGACGTAGTCCGGATCCTTGTTTCTTCTTTCTCTTTGTTTTTTCGACCGCATGTTTAGGTTTTTAATGTCTCCATCAGCCGCGGAAAAATGGCTAAGGAAAGGTGGAACAGGCAGCGTTTGGGATACCTTTTATAATCCTCTCCTTTTGCCAAGGAGGTTTTGCAGCGCGTTCCTTGATTAGAGGGCTGCTCAGTAGCACAGGTGGCTGCCTAACTCCAACGCTGCTCTGGGTGGTGAAGAGCGACCATATGGCCTGTTCCGCCTGTGTGCAGGTCCGCGACTACCGATTTCCAGTGAACCCGCACCTATCACCTTTGTTGCTCGCCTGTCGCCAAAGGGCTTTGGGGTGGATGATAGAAGGGATGGAAGATAATCATTGACTTGACTTGCGCGCGATGAGTTTGAATAAAATGCAGAAGGGTTGCGAGTCGACGACCTCACTCTCTCATCCACAACCATCTAGATCCAGTGGCAAGGCAGGACGTCTGCAGATGAAGACAGATGCAGCAGATGACCAAGATGTGCTATATGTGCCATGCCTTGCTCCATGCATTCCACGATGCTTGCTGTGTCCGCCTTCTTCTCCGTTGAACCATAACGGTTTCCCCGGCAGAGTCCGCCGGTGCACAGTCTTTACATGCGTTATAGGTAGGCAAGCCATCAATCAAGAGGGTTTGAGACCGGTCAGCGCTTTGTGTAGAGAGTGACCTCCTAGAGGGATCTCCCTTAAGAGGTTACGGGTTCTCTCTACCCGGACTAGTAGAGGGAAGGGGCGTTAGACCATTGCAGGTCGAGAGACACAGCCCGCTGCCCATATTTGGTCGTGCACATATGTTGCTCAATTTTGATGTCAAAAATATATAATATATTAAACGTTTAACTTAGATGAACATATAAATGTTCATCATCACCATGGTTTAGCATGAGAATATAATTAAATAAAACATTTTACGTTAAGGCTCTACTTGAGACCAGACATATTCACAATATCTTTGTTAAATAACGCACAGGGTAAATCAGGGGGATTTTCCTTCAATTTTCATTTTTAGGATAGGGATAAAGATTTACTATTAAATCAAGTTATACATACATGTATTTGTTACTGAAATAATGTTTTGAAATGCTAATACGTGATAAAAATTCTTTAAATAAAATGACCATGCAATATGTTTTTGATGTGAAAATTGCCACAGTACTAATTTGTTTCCTCGGATCAAAATTTTTAAATTGCATATTCTACTCTTATGATCAAGGGTAGAATTATATTCCTATATAATTTAGACGGCTCATTACAGAGCCAATATTGAATAATAACTGAACAGGGTAATAGCATGGTCTGCATTCAAAAGAATTTTCAAGAAAATATCATCCGAAATAAGAATTTGCGTACTGAAAAACCAACCTTCTTATTTTCAAAGACACAGCTTAGAGATTCAGAACGAACAAGTTGGGTTGGTGTATATAAACTGTTGATACACCATTAAAGCCTCAATCAATTGAATGCTATCAAACATTTTCTGAAGGTAGAGATGCATGTCCTTCAAAAATTAACTATGAAAATTATTCAACCGAGATGGTACCGATAACGAAAAATTCATGGCCTGGCTCATGGACTATATGCTAAACAGTTTCAGTTTCAGTTTCTTTATTTCTTTAAGCCAACTGGCCCATCAGAGTTATACAACAAACATGATAGTAACAAAAAGAAAAAACATACAGAGAGAGTGAACGTAAAGAACACATACATGGGAATAAAATTCTATACATCAATTTTATTTTTTCTTAACATTGTTGCTACGTGTTAAAAATTTGCCCAAATTTACGAGATCTTTAACATTATGGGAACTTAACAGCTGAATTAATTTAAAGACACTAGGTCTAGTATAATAATACTTTTTTGAAAAATTTCTTTCTTATATCAATATACAATGTACATTTCAAAATAAAATGAAATTCATCTTCTATATCATGGAGATTACAACATGTACATAATCTATCATTTTAGGTACGTTATGGTGTCTGACCTGTTTTATTCAAGGTGTGATTAGATAACCTGAATTTTATTAATAGCTGTCTTAATTTTTTGTCAATAGGTTTTGTTAAATACCATTGCAAACAGAAATTGTCAATTAAATGTTGATATAAATTACACTCTGAAGAGTTTGATATATTTTCTAATATAGCTTGTCTAAAGAAACATCTAACAGTCGTTGTTTTATAATGAGATAAGACCTATCATTTAAATTATCTTTATCCAAAGTTGACCTAGACCTAAAAGGGACAATTCTTTTTTAATTTGTAAAATCCATTTGTCATTATGTAATACCATGCTTTCATAACAGGACTGTGGAGAATGCAATTTTCAGTTGTTCTCAGTTTGATTGAATATTTGAATATTCTTAAACATAGTTCATTCATGATGATTTGTAAATGACAATAAATCAATCAACTCTATATATATGCATTTCCTTACTTGAGTGGTTATTTAATTATATTCTTTGAAAAAAAAATTAACCATAAAGAAATTGTTTCATATCTTTAAAAATCAATATATGGACCTAGTGTTTTGAAGAAAAAATGACTTTAATTATAATAATCGTGAACGTTCAACATTTTTTCTTAGAGTATAGAAGAAGGTTTTCCAATGCTGAATGTCAGCAAGTGCGTTTATCTTTTGATAAAAATAGTGAACTATTTTAATATCTTCATCAAATAAAGGGAAACATTACCATCTCGTCTAAGTACAGGATTTCATAAACACAACAGAAAATAAAACTATCAGAGATCCACAAATAAATCGAGACAATTTGACTATCAAAAGTTTCCTTTTGTGCACTTTCCTATTAAGCAATTATTTACAGAAATTTTAATTGGAACAAGGAAACTTTTGTAGATAAGTGGATTTCCTCTGATACTCTTGAAAAAAAAATCAAAGAATGCAAATATAAGTAATAAACAACGATTATTCAGTGAACATGGATTATTTTGTAGTTTCCATATTTTCCAATGCACTTCATAATATGCCACGCTGTATTGTACCTTGCAGAGTAAGTGGATATATGTATTAAGATAAGGGGTTGATATGGAGAAGGGTGATGATCAACCATTTATTACTATAAGAAATTCACGTTCTTTGAGACCAATCTCGAGACCAGGAAAGACATCTTGTCTAATACTTTCTTTACAAATTGTCAGGCACGCAGAAATGAAGTTTTATTTTCGATTTGCAATGTATATTGTTGATCATGTTTTTTATGGATCAAGAGTTCATCAATAACATACACTGTATGTTATGTCATTTAGGGCATTAATCTTAAATTGATTGAAAATCAACAATAACATGACCAATATTTTAAACAATGTTGGATGGCAGAGACTGAGAGAAATATTATCTGATAGAACTCTGGATAACTCTTTATTTTTTTCATAACACACTCAGTAATAGTACAGTTTTTTGTATATGCGATATGCCTGACCTCAGCAAAACAGCCATATCAGCCTTGCAGCGCTGAAACAGATGATTATAATCAAATCATATCAATTGTCCTCCGTTATTGGCAGACATATTTTATATTCATATGGAGCAGAATTTGTGCAAAATCTTATGCGTGAAAAGAAGAAAACACTTGCTCTGGCCTTCAACTCAACATTTAAATATATCTACGATGTATTGTCAATTAACAATGATAATTTCCATTCCTATGTCGATACGATATATCCTGTGAGCTTGAGATAAATGATACCACAAAGTCTGACAAATCTTTTTCATACTTAGATATTTTACTTGAAAAAGACGTTAATGGTAATCTAACAACCAAGCTCTATGATTAACGTGATTACTTTAACTTTTCTATCGTCCGATCCCCTTACTTTTACAGCAAGATACCTTCATTACCTGCATATGGCGTTTATATAATTATACTGGTATATCTCATTTGATTCGATACGCAAGAGCATGCTCTACGTATGAAAAATTTCTAAAACGAGGTAAATTATTCACAAAGAAGTTGATGAAACAAGAATATCAGCAGTTTCGTTTAAAGTCATCATTTTGTAAGTTCTATGGTCGATACAATGACCTTGTCAGCAAATACAATTTATCATTGAGTCAAATGCTGACTGACGTTTTTCATACTAATTGTTAGTTCATTCTTTATACACTGAATTCACGACAGATTTTCCTGTTATTTCCCGATCATGACAAGGAACACACGGCGGGTGTGATCGGTCAGCAGGGGATGCTCACTTCTCCTTGGCACCTGATCCCAACTTTGATGTTTTAGATGCCATGTTTGCTCTGCTCCAATTTTGTATTGCTTTATGGATTTTATGCTGTTAGTTATATATCTCCATATCCTTCATCTCTAGCAGATTAAACCTTAAACACAGTGATCAAGTTAATAAAATAACCTTGCTTTAAGTCTTTTTGATTAGATACAAGTATACGTAGAAAGGTTTTTTCTTTTAATTTTTTTTTTCAAAATTCTTTATCTTTTTATGTTATTTTTTGATATAGTGTTTAATTTCTTAAACAAAACTATGTCAAATTTAAAACGGGGCAAAATTGTTTGCAAGTGTGAACCATGGAACGTCAATTTCAAAAGGTTTTTAAAGGTTTCGTCGGAAAGATCCGTAACTTTCACTTTTATTGCCGATGTAAAGACGAATAATAACCCCCATAGAATATTGAACAGGGGGCCATATCTGAACAACCCAGCCGCGTAGAAAAAAATAATAAAGAAGAAAAAGAGCCCCATGGGTGATTTTTTATGTGTTCCTCATACAAAATTCACCCCCGTTGAAAAACAACCCCTTCTCTAACAGAATGATACAAAATTTAGTGAATGATGCTAAGGGTTGAACCTCAGTGTATAATTCCTCCATATGCCCTTTTTGACCAGAACTGGGGAAATGCGCCATTAAAGCTGTTCAAAGGCATTCCCCATTTTTGAAATTATTATCTACGATACATGAACACGAGGGTATACTCCTCGCATTATTTACACAAGACTACTTTATTGTCACAGGTATCGGCGTGGAATGGCAATCCGTGTTCGTGCTGATTATCTTGCATTACCTGTGTTAAAATTTTATTGCACTTACGCATAAATTTGTGTTTGTTTGTGTACTGCACTGACCTGTGCAACTGTTTTAAGTGTCTTTGGTGTCTTATTTTTCTGCATTAGAAGAAGTACACAGTTATTTGTTGTCGCTACTGAGTATTGTATAGCTTATGTACGTGTACACCGGTGACGAAACCTTACACTGAACAGTGACTAAGTAATTCGCACTATTTAAAGGGGTCTGCGGATATACCGAGAGCTCGAACAAATATTGCCGAAACATCTTTTTAAGAATCGTGTTAAGCTTTAAAATGTAAGGAAACAGCATTATATTTACTTGTCTTTATGTATCTTTTAAACACATATTGAAAATTGAAAATGGCAACCATTGCTTATAACTCTTAGCATATTTTTTTAATTACTGTCTTCCATCTGCTTTATATTTAGATATTTGGCTTATTATAGACATTTATAGCTAAATAAAAGATAAGCGTTATATTCTTCTGGCTTTTCACTGATAAACATGTCTCCAAGTATATTTAGCATGCTTTAAGTAGAATCAACTTTTAAAAAATGAAGGAAATAGGAATGGTTTACGTTTTCGGGAATAATTATGGAAAATTATGCATTGAAAATTTGATTTTTATTTTGAATTACATAATCAAAAATTGTGCAAATGGGGTTACAATGTATCGAAAATGACATATCACGTGCGAACGACATATTGTGCACATATTTATCTCCTAAAGAAAAAAAGCCGAAGATACATGTAACGAACAGTGATGAATACGCCAGTTTCGAGATTGTAACTCTCCTACGATAGAGGCGCTAAAAGTACCCATTTCAGCATGGAGGTGGGACAGGTTGTCTCTGTATACAAACGTGCATAAATAAAAGAACGATATTTATGGTTCTTAAAATTTACTAAATGTTATAGAAAGATAATAATGTTCAGCAGTGATGCATTTGATGATTTATCAAGCTCAACTATGCATATTTACAAATCTACTATTAATTTTCGGGTACTTGAAAACGAAAGAAACGTCGTAGTTTTTATAAAAAGTAACCGAATTTCTTGATTGTACGAACATTTTCTAAAAAGTTAGTGTTTTTAAAGTCATAATAAGGAAAAGAATCAATATGTCATTAAGATTCCCGACGTAATCAGATACATGTTCACCGTATTTATTAGAGGTCCATATCTCTTCCCTCGTCCGAAAAATCTCACATCCACTGATATTTTCTTTTTTGTTTCGATTTTTTTGCTTCAAAAATGATGCCTTTAAAATTTAATTTTTATTCTCAAGTTGTACATAATCAAACAATTGTGTAGTAATGATAAACCGGTATATCGATGATGCAATGTATCCAACATACACAGTATCAAGTATCTGTCCCACCTTTTTGTTTACGCGGCAACGAAACTCCCCTCGTCAACGAAAGAGCGCACCAAGGGAGATATTCTCGAAACTTGCGTATTAAAAATGTCAACAAACCATACAATTCTGCAAACAAGGCAAAAAAAGGACACCCGAAAATAGCAGAAGTGGGATCGGGTGCCTAAAAAGGGTAAGCATCCTCTGTTGACCCGTCACACCCGCTGTGAGCCCTATGGATATTTCAGGTACACGGGACATTCCGCTGTCGTTTTTGGTATAAAACAAGGGCAAAACAATTTACACATAGATAATATTTCTTGACAGGGTCATTGATACGACCATTGAATTTATGAAATGATGAACGTTTTATTTATTTCTTTATTTAATTTATTTATTTCTTGAAAAAAAAAAGCGGAAGAGATAAAAGCTTCACTCTTTTCCGTTATCAGTCTTTGCTTGTGAAATTTCCTTGTTAAAACAGAACAAAACACTTCTGGTGTTTACTAGCCTAATTCTGGAGCAGTCATTCAACGAGAAGGATGCATCTTTTTATGATCCAGTTGATGGTTGCCGTAAACTTGAGTAAGAATATTTAAAAGTGATATTTTGCTAGCACCATTTGCCAAAAAAAAATTTGACTTAAAGCTTTTTTTTTTTTTTTTTTTTTTTTCAGATAATGGATGGGATACTTTTGATAAAGTGGAATATCTTGATATAAACCAAGGTCAGATAACCTCACCTGGATACCCCGGCAAATATACAAACAATGTAAAACATGCATGGGAAATTAGGACCAGACCTAATTTAACTTACTTTATATTTACAATACATGACATGGATATTCCCTGTGGCGACTATCTAAAGGTAGCATCTGTCTCACAGAAAATAGATACAGAATTTTAATTTAAGCCAAGGACTTGATATAATACAAAAGATCAATAAAGAGATTTAAATTACGATTTACTCTCTATATATATTTCTCACTCTCTCTTTTGTGCCTCATTGTACTTAGTGAATTTTTTTTCCAGATTGAGGAAGTCAATCCATGCTGCCACACTCCCTTCTATAAATGTGGTAAAATGCATGAACAAAAAAGGACAGTTTATGTAAGAGGAAAGCAAATTAGGATATCTTTTACATCCGACAACACACTGAATGCTAGAGGCTTTAATCTTTCTTGGACAGGTATATGTATTATTCTATATTTATTTTCTACATTATTCTTTATTCATTATCTATGAACCAATTTTATAGCATTGCTATTTCAACTCCATCAACATGTAAATTTAAACTGTGCTCTCCTGAAATATCTCTTCTTGTCGTCTACAGGAATTAAAAACGTTTTTACTCAGACAAAAATATCCTAATGATCTAATAGATGTCGTTATTGTAAAGGTCAAGTCAAAACCAACTGCAGATTCCTGTTCTACTAGACAAGGGACCCAGAAAAACAATACGGAAAACCCGCTGATTGTTACACATAATCCTCGGAACCTTAATACGAGGGTAATGTCCCATAATTCCGTAGACAAGCGTTGTTTTGAATGAATCCGAAGACATATATTAATGTTGCACTTTACATATATGAACTAACAATAACCATAAAATTTATGGACAAATATGGAATAACTACACAGATTAACACTATTTAAATGACTGTAGGTGTAGAAGGGTGGAATATTTCCCTAAAGGTGCAATTAAAAATCGGCATAATATATTTAAAATCCTACGAAAAAGTAATTACAACAGTTACTCTATATTTTCTTAATGGAATATTAAAATTGCTAATATTGTATTGTTGGCAATATTTCCTCAAATTTGGGTGTTTATACTTAAATAAATATGAATTTTAGAACGTTTTATATACACCGGGTTGAAATCCGGTTTTCTGAAAAATGGTGGCTACGTTAATCATAATAGTACATGCCACGCACTGGAATGTGATCAAGTGTTTTGGTCCTAAAATCACTCCTACTGAAATGTACAAGTCATACATGTTTGGTAAACAAGGAAATATTTTACTGGTCCTTAAAATTTACAATGACAGAACTGGTGTCTCTATATATGTGAATAACAAAAACTAAAACAAAGACAGGCCTAAGAAATGGGCAAGAGTGCTACTGTGCATCTCCAATAAAAAGACAGACAAAAAGACCGTAGAAATATAGGGTTTTCAAATTATTATTTTTTCATACTTGTGCATGTGTATACTTTGTTTACATATTTTAGTGTTAAATCATATCAAAGTCATTGAGATATTAAGATATTACACATATATATCTATTATAAATCGTTTTTATATAATTAATGAATTTGATTCTGGTAACTGAATTAATCACCCAAAATTTGAAGCGTTGACATTCTTCATTCTACAACGTCTTTTTTGACGTTGTAGATAGCTGCCGATGTTAAAAACGATATCACTTCAAATCTTATTACTCGAATTGTTTTCGAGTAAACATGATAAAATTACGTAATTTATCTGCAAAGAACACGTTTCATCCACCCAGAAAATTTTATAAAGATACATTAATTTCTTTAAAAGATATGCGCTCTCTCTACGTAAAACTGTGTTTGACCATTTTACAACAATCCGAAAATCTAACGGAATTAATTGACCCGAAGAGCATAATCTGTAGCCGGCGCTAGCCCCCAGACCTAAGGAAACCCCGCACAAGAGCCAGATTCTCGTTAAATGAAGACAAACGCACAGTAGCCAAATTTATGAATCCCCAATGTGGAACTTTCCTTTATTTAAAAACAGGGGAGAAGTTTACATTTAAATGTGGTATTTAATATTTACTCCAGTATGTCATGCAAAGCTAAACATTTCATATACTGTATGACCTGTGCTTCATGCGGAGAAAACAACATTGGACAGACCGGTTAACAGACTAGCTGACCATGTAAGAGTCCATAAACAACAAATATACAATTTGAATTGAGTATCGTTCTCTGAAATAACTTCCACATGTCGTTTTAAGCCACTGGAATATTTTATGTAATTCCTCGTTGTCAACATGGCACAGTGATGAACGCTTCTGCCCTAGAGTCGCAAAAATATAACCGCAAAAACCAAAATACACGTTACATAGAACTTTTTAAAGCAACTTTCAATAATATTTTATATTTTTTCACAAACATTGTCGAAAAAAATAAATAAAATAAACTACAAAATATTAACGATGTAGGTTTTGCTTAAGATTTTCAAATTACCTACCTATGAGTTTGTGAATTCCTCTTGAGCTTATCAGAAGATTGTGAAAGATTCTAAATTACGAGTGCTTGTGAAGTATTCACCACAAAACTATTGTACATTTTATGCATAAGCATGCCATAACTGAAAGGCCACAAGAGAGTTTCACCGAAAATGTAGTTCTACACTTTTATTATCCTGCAAAATCTCTTATTGATGTATATGATATTCAATTTGAGATTAGGGAATGCACTCGAGCAATTAAAGCCTGGCTTTCAGTATTTTCAGTACTTTGATTTGTTTTTGCATTCTATAAGAAGCAATAACTCTACTAAAATGATTGATAATGTTTAAAAAGCACTTAAATAGATAAAATGTTTTTGAGCTATAATAAACAAAAAGCCTCTATCGTAAGAAATTCATTTTTCAGACCCCTGAATTCTATTCTGGTGCTCATATAATGAAAATAGGTTAAACCTTTGGACATTTTATTTACGCTCTAAATCTTCTTGTATATACCTCTGTATAACAGTGCTTTTGTCTTAGAATTATGAAAGCTAGTCACTATTCATAAATTCGCGCCAAACGCCACGAGTTAATCTTCGCGCTTTTCCTTGGAATGTTTGTGTGCTTTAATGAAATTAAAAAACTGTTCATTTAGCATAAAACTTTTTACATTTCACGTATATAAGGAAGTAACACTAAAACAGTGAAATTCTTTTTTAAAATTTCATTTTAAAGTGAACTCCTTGAACTTATTAGTTAAAAACATTCATGAAGAGATTGAAATGTTTCGCAAAAAAAAAAAAATGACTCGCCTTACATATAATTGTTTGTGCTCAAAATAATAAAATCTTTGAACAATAATGTTAATATAAACTAAAAAAAAAATAAGGTTATCTTATTTTGTCTATATTTAATATGGCACAAGTGTGCATGGGAAAAACAGTGAGTAAGTTTTATACTTACTGTATTCATTGATATCCTTCTTGAAAAACTATATATTATAACAATGATTAATGAGCTGCTTTTCCGTGGTGCAATAAAGATATTAGGTATCAATTTCAAATTTATCTTTTCTTTTTCTACTTTGAAATCCCAAAACCAATTATAGAAGACGTTGAAGAATTTAGTTTGACACAGAATTGTTACGTTACTAATGGAAAATCCAAGTATTCCTTTACATTCCATTTGTCCTTATGTTACTTTCGTAAGTATGCTTTCTGTCGGATACATATTTTGAAATGCTTCAAATTTTTAAATGCTGGTTTAGATTTATCAATATTCAAACAAAATATATAGTAAGCATTATAAGAAAGGTTTCTATTAACATACAAAAAATAAACGAAAAATATTGAAAAACAAAAAAATCTAAAAAATTAGACTTTTTAAATTAGCTTCCGGTAGCAAGAGTAATGACGACAGTCGCGTCCTGGATAGAAATTTATTATCACATAATATCTGAAATTTTCACACAATATATCTTTTACCGTTCACCAGCATCGAACCACAATCCCTCAGATCAAATTCATTTAACAAAACATCTGTCCTGAAAATTTCTGTAATTCAAGAAGGAAATCGTATCTAATAATAATAATAAAGAAACAACAAAGTTAAAATAATTCTAAATTCTAAAAGTTTCATTATATTCATGATGGACATTTAGCATTTTAAATATATTCATCGTTCCAATAAACTGCAAACAAAATAAGCCAAATATTATCAATTGCACTACAGACTAATGGATTATTACACGCGTAATAAGTATACTTTCTGTGGATACATATCTGCTCTGCTAGACTGTTTTCGGTTATTAGAAATGTCAAATAAAACAACTTCAACATCAACAGAGTTAACAACTACCTCTACGATATATACAACAATTGAACCATCAACAAAACTGACAATCACTCCTTCATTATCAATTGCTTTAACACCATCGTTGACATCTTCAATAATACCAATGAAATCAACGTATACCAGGGTAAAAACAAAGCCAACTCTATTAACAACACACCTGTCAGCAACTGCTAAGTCAAAAACCTCAATGTTCACAGGTATTTTTTTTTAATCTTTGTTATACATGCTATATAATCTAAAGAGAAAAAAAAAACTGAGATATAAAGGGCACTTAATATTTAATGATCGGAGAATACTATAGAATTGTATTACGCATTAGTTCTACAACGGCATTGCATTTCATTTTGACATATTTATTTAATTGGAAAGAAAAGAGAGAGAGGTCCAACGTCAGAAAAATAAAGCAATTTAGATAGAAAAGTTAAACTCGTCTCATTTATCATAAAGCGTTGTTGCTAGTTTACCATTAACGCTTTTTAATTCTGATATCCAAATATGTCTTATTTTAAGGTCAAAGAGATGTTATATCGAATCAATGTTTGAATGAAAATTAATATCGTTAATTGAAGACCATCGTCGAGATATTGAAGAGCATCGTTATTTTTTAAAGAAAGCCTTATCCCAACATATTTGATGCTTTTGCAGAAACTTTTTTTCACGTAAAATATATTTTAAACATTATCAGAGCAATATAGAGTCCTTGGCAAAGTGACTACTATGATATCACTTGCATCGGAAGCGGCACAAAAATAATGTTATTCAGTGGCGGATTCAGAATCTTGAAAAGAGGGAAGCGACCAGTTTGGGGTAGGGGGGACCGGGCCTCCTACCACCTGTTAATCCGCCATCCGTGTTTATAGTTCCGACTCTTTCACCGAAATTAAATAATTTAAAAAAAGATAAAATGTCTACAAATATTAAAAAATAATACAACTATAATGAAAGCACTTGCATGAAATTTCATGATTGGTAAATCATCAGCATTTGACAACCTCCAACTAAGATGCTTCAAATATGATATTTCTCAAAAGTTCCTCTGGAAGGTAAATATTTCTTAATTTCAGAATTCCAACCTCTTAAAAGATAGATTCATGTAAAAGTTGTAATATTTGTTCAAAACCTTCTACCAATATACTAACAAATACTGATGAGGACAAAAATATGTGTCCACATTTTTTAAAGGGATCTTAAACTAAAAAAAATACCTGTCATTCACTCTTCTCATATTTTTATAACCCTTTAT